CGACGTGCGCTCGCATTCCGCAAACGTGTACGCGCGCATGAATATAATGTAATGCAATAAACGTAAGCGTAAGATTTAATCAAAACAATCGTGAGCGTAAAACTTCCTTGAGCAGCAGGAGCAGAGAGAGAGAGAGATACGGCCGAGCGTCCATTAAGTCGAGTAGTTTCTCTCTTTTACATACGCGCTCGCTACGTGTAATGCATGACTAAAAAATACACGTATGACATATCTTCGGTGGTATACAATGCTATATAGCTTTTAGAGCTCGAGGACGCACGAGCCATCGCGGAGCAATTGAAGTGGCTGCCGAGGTGTACAGCAGCAGCACTACTACGTCCCAAGTCCCAAGTTACTGCACAGCCCTCGGTGGAATTCCCCAAGCTTTCATTGCGCATCGTGGGTATATATAGCCTTGGACTTAACATCGTCGTCCCCGCCGCCGCCGTTGCGAATTCGTATACGCACGTGTATAACAGCGGGAAAAGCACTAGATCTGCAGCGAGTGGAATTGACAGTCGACTTGATAGATGTACGCAAACGCCAACTCTTTGGCCTTTTTTTCTTCCGTACAAGCGTCAAATGAAACGATATATTTTGGTGAACTCGAGCTTGGGGCATGCGAACGCGACGCGTGCATAGGCAGTGCGAGAGCAGACGTTGAGCGAAGAGTATGTATGCATCGGAGACCCATAACTCATTGGGAAAAATATTTTTTATTAATTCCTCTGATTCTTCCTTTTTTTCGACGGTCTGGAGTTCCGCTCTCGAGGCTGCAAGAAATATAAGCTGAAGAAGTCAACATCCCTTGTATAGACGTTCCTTTCGCAATGATCAAAATCAAAGCTCTACATTGCTTGGCCGCTTGGATTAAGAGATATACCGTAATGCGCTCAACGAGATACGGTACGAGATAAGAAAGGACCCCGCACGAGATATCGCGGACACGAAATTGCTTCATGGACAAAAGAGATTCGCTTCGAAATTGATTCCGTCCCTGACAGGGACATCCTCTCTTGCATTCACGCGGCCAAGCTCATAAAAATTTCCCCGGCTCCCGCAGCTGCTCGCCTTTTATATAACGCTCTCATAATTACGTCTACTTAGATAGAGCTATTGTCGCCCAGCAGTTTTTTTTTTGAGCGTATAACGAATTCGAATATCCAAACAAGCCTTTTCTCGCTGAACGAGCTCTTCTTCCAGTCACTTTCCTTATAAAATGCTTGTGGCTCGGCTCTTTTTTACGATTCGAGAGGAGTGCGAAATTTTACCGCTGAATCCGGACTCTCACGTACGCACAGCATCTCTCGTTTTTTCTTCCAGCTGAATCGAAACACTGATAAAATTGCCACTCGCATTTTATATTACGACACAAGCGATGCGAGCGTCGATGCATTACGTGCGCTTATATAAAAAAAACCTCTTGGGAAGATAGGGCTGAGACTTGGGATTTTTGAGAAAAATTATTCAATTGTTGAATGGAGGCATTAAGTAAGTGTGAATTTGCGAACGTTTCACTTTCAGTGAAGTAAAATATTTAGTCTTCAAAGATTCGTTGTAGCCAGTTATAATAAGTATAATGAGTTTTGTCAATACGTCTAAAAATGTTGAACTAGGAATTGAAATTATTTAATCCAATTTTAACAGCAAGTACTTTAAACTATTCATTGACCCAAGACTGCAGAAGCTGTACTCGCAGCATTAATAAAATATTAAAGGGCATCTTTATCTTCGGTAAAGTCTATCTAGCTCCCCGAGGAAAAAGGCGGACACGACGAGTCTTTTTATTCGCACAATCTATTTCTCAAGCTTTTGTCCTTGCCGTCCTTGAGACAATCGCACGGCTTTCATTTTCATTTCGGCCATGTACTATGAATGTTTCAGGCACACTCATTCGCTCTGGCGATGGTCGCGACCTTTCTCAACTCATCCATTAAAAATTTACGCAGATGATACATCGTATTGAATCATGTTGAAATTACGAAAAATACTTGCTTGCGTTTTGCAGGATTCAGTTCAAAAGTAGACAAATAGTTTTTGGTAATTTTTTTTTCCGATGGAGAAGCCGAAGACCTTTAAATAAATTGGTTTTGCCGCGACGCGTTTCGTTCTATGCGTCTCTGTCTAGTCTCCCCGAGCAACAAGTTCCATCGAGTCGACGCGTATAAATGTCGTTAAAAATAAAAGTAAAAGTGCAGGTGCAGGCGCCGTAAATGTACATCGATATCAATAAGTCTAGGTAGACTAATTCTCAGAGTCGGAGAGCCGTACGCGTAAGTCGCGCGCACATAAACGCAACCTGGAAAATGGATAAAAGATTGCACGCGCAATTCTAACCGCATACGTAGTGCGGAGTGCCACTGTACGCACGTACAAGTGCGTGCAAGGATAATACCGCACTCGCGAATAGGATAAACAGACGGAGAAGCAGAGTAGCAGAGAGAAAGAGAGAGATAGCGAGAGAGGGAGGTACGGAAGGGAGATGAGCATTTTCTTGGCTTATTCCGCGGAAACAACGGACTTGCACTTTCAGAGACACATTGTGCGTACTATCTAATGCGTACACACGTCTCTCGAGGGACACTTTCAGGGCCCTCTCGAAACATAAAAACAGCACTCCACAGGAGTATATTTAAATAAGTTTCCTGCCCGACAAGTTCACGGAGGATCAATATTTTTAACTTAACATCGACACTGTGTAAATATGTAAAAAAGCCTGTAAATGAGAAAATATTTCAAGCTGTTAAAACACGTACGATAGACGTAACTGCGCACGACTCGTGTGTTTCGTAAGCTTACACTTGCATAGATTGCAAAAAGAAATTATCCAGAAAGCTTGATAATGGTTTTTGGACTTTTGTACGGCTTTGAATGGGATCGCGGAGCAAGATATTCTCCTTTAGTTTTACATGTAAAAATTAACATTTACTATATAGCTTGTTTATTTATAACTAGTAGGTATGTGGGCACGTGCGAACCAAGTCTGAAGATTCTTACATTTCGAATTACGCTGTCGGCCGTTGTCAAAAGATTTTTAAGATTTATTTATGTACACAGATACCATTTGCAACTCTTACACTTTCGAATTTTCGCATTTTTCGGCCAAGTTTCAATCTCGGATTCTTCGAGCGTACGAGTTGTATTTTTTAAATTGTCTTTCTACATACATCTGTACTCGGTGTTATGTAAAATGATAAATTCTTCACGTACGCAACTTGTTCATTTTTTATAATTCGACGATACTAGCTTGCTTGTACAAGCTTGTAAATGTCCGATAAAGCATAAATACAATATTTTTCAGGGCACATTCAACTCACAGATTTATATTCTCATAAATTATGCATACCATAATGCATTTCATTTGGCATAAGCGATTTCATTTTTATTACATAAAAATTATTATATGCTTTGCATCTTATATCCTTAAGCTCGCGATGTTCCAAAAAATGCATAGAAAACAGGTGTAATGTTTGCTGTTCTGCACGTCAAACTAACACCTTAATATTGAAAAGATCAACATTCTGATAATACCGAGACTCTAAATTTCAAAAATAACAGGTAAGTTGAATTTTTTAAATGAATATAATTATACTCACAAGTAAAACTCTTAAATACTCAACACCACCTAGTTTTCAGATACTAAAAATAAAATTTTTAAATAATTTATTAAACAAAAATGTGCAACTGTAGTGTCTAATAAGTAAACAAGAATTAAAAGACTATTTAGAAGACATTTCACAAAATAAAGTTATTAGTCATCAAAGAGGATGAAAATACGTATACGTCCGAAAACTAAATGCTACTGTTCGAAGTATTCATTAAATGTCTGTGTAAGTATGCATATTAGTTTTCATGTCATAAATATATGCCTTTCAAAATATTCAGTAGTGCCATAAGCAGTAGCAATCGGTCAAAGTAGAAAATTTGCTCTCGTATTTAGTACAATTATAAGATGTTTAAAGTTTATTATGAGTATAAATTTTGAAAAATTGATACTTGTATAAAAGCTGCCACGATAAAGGGGAAAATCAGCAACCCTCTTTGAATCAGGAGTTTTGATATGACGCTTCCGAAGCTATAATATCGATGTATTTTACGTAACAGTATCGATATCAAAATGTACGTTCGACGTTCTTGGTGCGAGCTCAAAAGCATAACAAGCACGACATGTCTCATGATCGGAGCACCGCTGCAAATCCGGTCATTCCGCACACATATACCTACAGACTCCTAAGCCCATTAAGCTTGCGCGATGTAGCAGTGGGACAAAAAATGTGCAGTGTCCGCGAAAACCCATACTAAGCGCTTATGTATACCAGAAAGAAACCTTTGAAGGCGACCCAGCACTGCATAGGTCACTTTTTCCGTGTTTAAGTCACTCAATCCATACTCGTTGTTTTCTACATTATTTTAATTAGCAAAGAAAACTCTTACTAAGGCGTTATTGCTGATCAATTTACACAAATAATTGTATAAACTAAAGTTTACTAACTTTTAGTTGCATTGATACTATTTAATTTAATGACTGACTATTTAATTTGCTTGCAAAAACATAGAAGTATTTACTTACTACAAATTAGTTACATGTTATTTTGCAACGTAAAAACTAGTCTTGAAATCAATTTTTGTATGCAATACTACTGTTTCTGAAGATTCATTAATAAAATTTCGACTTTAACTTTAATAATGTTTGAGAATCGATAACTCCTTTTAACAATCTTTTATTCTGTAACAAATTCCAAAAATTTGATCATGCATGCTCAAGTAAGTTGTAATGATGTATTTAAAGGACAAAAAGGTTCATTAACTTCTATGTATAAGTAGATAGAATGAATCAAAGGTTATTAATGAGAAAAATCGTGATTATGTAAGTTTTATGGACTTTTTATTTATTTAAGAAAATATAAGCCATCATATGGTTTAATCTTCTTCTTCTTCAGCTGGGGCAGCAGCAGCTCCCTTGCGAAGATTCTTCCTCTTTACACGGCCAGGGCGGCCGCCACCGAAGGGCGACTTCAGAGAGAAGTCAATATGTTTCTGTGAGTCCAAGCGAACAATGAACGATGGGATGTTCACAACTTGTTTGCGGACGCTGGAAGAAAAAATAATAAATCATAAGTTGAAATTTTTCGATTTATTTTTCACTTCAATATGCAATTTTCTCTCGTTATAGCAACTATATATTATTAAAGAAAATTGTACCAAGTTTAAATGCAAAGCCATATTTTAGCATTGCAATGTACGGCGTTATGTGCTAAACACTGTTTAGCACATAAGTGGCCAGAGTGAACAATTTACAGGCATTGAGCGGTACTATGAACACTTAAGTTGCCTATTACGGACTATAAGTATTAAAGTACTTTTATTACTCAAGTGGCCTGATCGAATCATTTTTAGCAGACATTAAGTACCAATTTATGTTTGAATACTTAAGTGGCCTGATTGAATCAAAGTTAACAGACATTAAGTACCAATTCATATTTGGATACTTAAGTGGCCTGAATGATCAACTCATTTTCAGAAAATATTTTTCTAGATTCAAGTTTCGTCATCCCAATGCCAATGAATCACTCCGAAGCATGACTAAAAATTTGACATAGGTCAGAAAACAGTTTCACCTTAAGTGATAATTAAGTTTAAATTTTACATATTGTATTCTGATATGAAATTGAATATACAATAGTATATATTCAATGATTAAGTCAGAAATTATTATAGCCTTAATGATTAGAAACAGTCTGCTTGTACAGATATTTCTTGCCCAGACAATAAGGCATAAATTTGATTAAATTTAAATTGATTCAATGCATACCGGATGTGTCTTTGACGGATCAAAACACGAGCGTGATGGATAGACTTGGCTAATCCAAGCTTGAAAACTTGGGTCTGGAGACGTCTTTCCAAGAAATCTTCAATTTTCAAGCCCAAAACGTAATCAAGCTTCATGCGGCCTTCATCGAGGACACCAATGCGAACCAGACGTCTCAAAAGTGCATTACCTAAAATGAAAAAATGTCAAACTTAAGTATTTCATTCCATGATGTAGATTATTATGTAATTTTTAATAATTTCTTCAGATTAAGGATATCATTTCAAAGTAAATTCAGACAAGAGGTGTCAGAATATAAAGAGTTTATCATCATTTTATAAAATTAGAGGTTTTTATACTGATAGGATATGAGAAGTATATGCTTACCTTCGAAAAGACGCTTGGGGTCTTTCTCTTCCAAAGTGAGCAGCTCTCGGGCAGCTTTACGGATTTTAGCCAAAGTGTATTTGACTCTCCATACTTCACGCTTGTTCCTCAGACCATATTCACCAATAATACGTAACTCTTGATCAAGACGAGCCTTTTCATAAGGTCTTCTGGGGGTGACATAAGTCTTGGAAAAGACTGATGGGATTCTACCGTTGACCATGGTCGCTCTGTACAAATATATCGATTTTTATTAGTTTCCAGGTTGATAGTAATTTCAATTAGATTGTTAAACATTGGTTTGCATGTATTCTAATATGAAGTCAAGTGAGCAATGGTATTCACTTGATGATTAACATAGAAATTGATATAGCCTTAATGATTAGAAACGTTCTGCATATTAACAGACATTCCTTGCCCAGACAATAAGGCATATTTCAGTGCGAAAATGATTGTTAATGCATTCGAGGTTAGATCCGGAACGGCATCCATTAAATTAACCTCTAACCGGGCAAACATGTGCTCAACAATTCAAGTCGTAATTCAACGTAACATTATTGAAATTTACCGTATTACTTATAGAAAATTACATTACATAGTTTAATTCACTCGAGCAGTACGAAGATCGATAGTTATTAACGATAATAGATTGACGAAATTATAACCGTAAAAATCGCGGCACGTGGAGGAATATGCATTCGCGGAACAATCATTTGCACATAAAATAGTTTATGTAACAAATAAAAATGTATTGAAAGGAAAGTTAAAATAGAATTACATGAGACTGTAATAAAGAATAAATAAAAAAAGGTAAAAAGTAACTTAATGAAAATGAACTTACGTATTTCTTTAATACTTGGCGACCAAAGAACCGTTTCCTCGAGTCTACGATATAGGAGTGAAAGAGTCGGAGCCAGAACCAAGCTACTCACCTAAGGATCGCTGGGCGCTGCCGTCACGCCGCACTACGCGCAACCGCCGGCGAACACTCATTTCCATTTTAGCAAAATCAAGTGGTAGCCACTTTTGCAGCGCCGTTTTCAAATTTTCTAAAAGTACTATGTTTTTTATCAACTTTTTATTTGTAAAAATGTTCAACTTGAAACGCACAACTTCCTACTACATGTCTTTTTTCATTTTAGCTTTTATTATATTACTTTAATAATTAAAGAAATCTCTTAAAAAATTTAATTTCGAGGAAATAAATAAAACTAAAGTAAAGTATGAAATTTCATACTATTCCATCAGATTGTCAAGATTTTTATCGTAAAAATGAGTATTTCAATATTGGATTCATTTACTATGAAAAACTAAATTAATTTTTAAAACTGTAAAGATTTGTGTAGTCACAGGATCAATGTTCTAATGTTTTATTGTGACGTCACGTAACTTTAAGAATGAACAAAAGATTAATTGTATACGGACTTTTAAACGTATATTGGTATGGCTAAGCCCTTGAACTTTATTTTATTACGTCTCTGTTTCTCAATATACATACGCATTACGCACCTGTGCATATATGCTATGCTAGAAGTTTTTCAATCTCCATCTAGTCTGCAATAGTAACATACATTTTACACATCTGTAATTGCTTAAACGCTCATTTATTATTGACAAATATTTTAAAATGATGTCGATCGGTGCATTAACTTTACATGAGAAGCTTCTGTTTGAGTATAACATAACTATCGGTTTTTCAACTTTAAAAAGAAAAATGAGAGAAAATACAGGGTGAACAAAAAGTTTGCTGTTTTCAATGAAAATCGTCTGCTGTACTATGTCAAACTATTCAGCTAAAATTCTCGTGGGAATAATAATAAGACATTTACGTCACAAAATAATCAAGAAATCACCTACGTCGTTATCATGTAAACGGGAAACGATATAGGATCAGTCAATAGACGCTTAATACATATCTTAAGCTTTGATTCCGAAAAAATGTAAGTTACGATCGAAAATTACGTCATCTGTTTATTACGTATTCACATTATTACAAAACGTTGATGAGTTTCAATAACATATGAATGAAGTATTAGTTCTATTCGTCTATTTGATAATAACATTTCACGAATATTTGAACCATTGCATGCCAAATAAATTGACATATCTATCTATAACCTACTTCGTAAAATTTTAGAATAAAAATCTCTATAACGTCGTTCAACGTAATGTTGTTATTTAGTAAAATTTTCCATTTCTCTTAATTTGCCATATTTTTAATAATCGATTCTTGAAGTATCAATAAAAATAAACTATAACTATGTATACACTATTATTAAAACATTTTTATTTATTTTTAGCACCTTGAGGTTTAAGAAGATTAAAATTCAATCACACTCTCTCAGTGGTATCTACTAAATTTTATTTAAAAATATGCTTTGATATGCATAGCCAGTCAATTGACCCCGAAAGTGAGGAAACATTGATAAGCCAAGATGTAAGTATCACAGAAGCTGAGAACATCCATTCAGTATTTCGTAAAACTTCAAGACATAATACAGGGCTAATAAGAAGCAAAACTCTTAAGACAGTAATTTAAAATATATTTTACGCTGTGATGAATTTATTGTTTCTAGTGCCATGGTTTAAGTGTATCAACTCAGTTTAAAATATTTTCATTTATAATGGAAAGTTTAGGAGGAGTGAGTGTAATAATAATTATCTTTTAAATTTGAAACTCAAATTTGAACTAATGTGAATGTCATTACAATTCTTTATCTATAATTAAAAAATTAAAAAATTTTTAAAATTCAAAAAATTTGGAACTGTTTGAGTTTGAAAAATCATTTTATTATGTCTTTTCATAAATTTTGACAATTTTCTCAAAATTGGATATAATGAGATTTTTCGTTTAAATTGAAAAGACTATGAGATTCATGAAAAAATATTTTTAAAACATTTGTAAGTGGAAAAATAGTGTAAATTAGTATCTTGTTATTGTGCTTCTTTGTATAGACCCCCCATGAAGTAAATAGCTCAACAAACAATTAATCAATTAAAAATTTGTTTATTAAATATATTTACAAAATATATTAATATCAATATATAGTAGAAGTGGAAGGTAAAATTTAATTTTGACAAATTGAAGTTATTGCTAAATACATTTATAATTATTACAATGAAGATATCGACCCCCCAGGAAAATTTCTTCAGATAAATCTTTCCTTTTGTCAATGATAATAAGTCACGTGAAGAAGCTCAATAGATATTCCATTAGTGGTTTAAATTCTTATTTATGAACATTGATAAAATATATCTTCAATTGAGAAATTATGCTTCATAGCCTTTTGATACATTGTCACACATTCTCATTCCTCAATTGCAATTAGAGATAAATGACCATTACTTTATGTTATTAAAAAAGCTTATATCGTTTATAAGAAAATTTATCTCATTTTTTATTTCAGTATCCAGTTTTGAAATCATTTATAGCTGGGTCATTCTCTGGTACCTTTTCCACACTTTTGTTTCAACCTCTTGATTTGATTAAAACAAGATTACAAAATAAAGTCAATCATCATGTAGGGTATGTAAAAATGATCATTTTGAAAAAATTATTACTATAATGAAATTATTTTTTGTAGAAATCAAAAAAGTGGTATGATGTCAACAACAATATCTATCATTCAAAAAGAAAATATTTTTGGATTATGGAGAGGAATCACTCCTGTAAATACTTTTTTTATAATAAATTATATACACTTCAATTTGTAGTTTTTAAAAACGTTTTATAAATTTTTGCAGTCTATGACAAGAGTTATTCCAGGGGTGGGACTATATTTTTCAACTTTACATTGGCTTCAAAGCACTTTAGACTTATCAGATCCAATTACACCTGCACAAGCTATTTCTCTAGGAATAACAGCTAGAACTATATCAGGCGCATTACTAATTCCAATAACAGTAGTGAAGACAAGATTTGAGGTATGAAAAGAAAAAAAAATTATAAATAAATTACATGTTATGATGTGTCATATACTTACAGAGTGGTGTGTATAAATATAACAGCATTAGTGAAGCTCTTAGACTCATACACAAGCATGAAGGTATTAGAGGACTTTCAAGTGGCCTTATTCCAACACTTTTACGTGATGCACCATACAGTGGATTATACTTGATGTTTTATACTCAGTTAAAAAATTTAACATCTAGAGGTAAGTAGTTACAAGACACAATTTTCATGATTAATGATGAATCAGTGAAACTTTAAATTAGGTATTTTTTTCTGTCTTAGAATTTCCGCGGTATAGTGAATTGCCAGCTACTCACTTCAGTTGTGGAATTATGGCTGGTATTTTTGCGTCAATTGTAACACATCCTGCAGATGTTATTAAAACTAAAATGCAACTGTATCCAGAAGAATTCAAAAGCCTCAAAAGATCTTTTATCTTTGTATATAACAATCATGGGATTTTAGGATATTTCAAAGGCATTGTACCTCGTATGCTTAGGAGGACACTAATGACTTCAATGGCTTGGACTGTTTATGAGCAAATCACAAGAAATATTGGTTTAAAATAACTTAATGGTTAAGACAAAACCGTTTGCAGTATTGTTCTGTTGATAGTTTGATTTATACATTTGTAAATTGAATTTATTGTAAATATTCACCTACTACTTATAAGTGCCTTTTTATTAAGATTTTATGACACATTGCAAAAAAATAAATATGATTTTATTTTCAATAAAAATATTTTAATTATTACTTATTTCAAGAGGATGCTCAATCCATTACATAAGTTCCCTTATCAAATAGTTATTATATTAAAATTCAGAAGTATAATTATGAACGACTGAATTCAATAAACACAAATAAAGTTAAGAAATTAATGTTTATCTCACTAACCAACTATATATTATTATGTTAACGTTTTGTCAGTTCAATGCTGACCTCTCCAAGTCAGCAAGTCAATTTTTATTTTTAAGAGATCAGAATTTGTCTGACAAAACATTGATGTAAGAAAGTAATGTTAGTGACATAAATATTAATTTTTCAACTTTAATCGTGTTTATTTAGGTATTCCCTTTATGATCATATTTTTAAATTTTAATCTAATGTCAAAAAAAATGTCAATTCGTTTTTTTTCCATTTCTTATACAGTAAAATGTTGATTAGGTATTTTAAGAGACAGGTTTAAAAATTGTTATTTTCAATCTGGTTTGACTTAAATGCCTTATTTTTATTGGAATAGAAAAGTCAATAAAAATTCATATTTGATTCTTTAATATTTATTTATTCAGCCCTATGCCATAAGTAGGTTTTATTTTACATAAGTTTTGAAAACCAATAATTGAAGTTAGACCTCAAATTCAAAAATTCTCTTTACATTTTATTGTATCAACAAATTAGAAGACTACAATGTATCAATACTACTATTTCATTATATCTTTATAATGATAATATTTATAATGAATATTGTTAAGTTTGACAATCATCTAATTTTACTTGAAACACTTTAAATTTATAAACAAATTTAAAAACCTATGAATGACGGTGTCCCATGTAATCAAGTCACATCTTTTCTCCATCAATGAACGTTTACTCCAGTAGAACATCCATTTTTGAAGTTATATGGTTAAACAAAAATCTCAATGATAAAAAGGATATCTTTACCTTGTATAAAATTTTAACTTTCATTTCTTGGTATGATTGGTGTATGCTGCATGAAATCCCTCATGAAGATTTGCGTCTGAAAGAAAATAAATATTTTTGTAAAATTATTAAAAACAAAGCACTTTATCAAATTTGTTAGGCACAAAAATATTTGTATCAAGTACTCTAAAATGGATAAATCATCATTAAAATTGTCCAAGAACAGAACACAGCAGAATTTAACTAAATAAATCCAAACTTTTCAAAGTCAGTTCAATTGTCAAAAAGACATTTTTCATAAAATGAACCAAATTTTTTTGGCACATTTGTTTATTTATAAGCTTAAGCAAAGCAAGATTAAAGATTACAATTTGAAAAGGATATTTTGCATCTGTATTGTACTCTAGTTAACATTCTTATTTAATGCAAACAAACTCTTCGTTATGATTAAAAAAAACTTATTATTTTCTTATAAAATAAGACTTGACTCGTATAACCCTTGATAAATTTTATATATTCAGCTCTTAGGGGCTTTCTCATAAACTGTGCATTAATAAAATTAATTCCTAGATTTAAAAAAATATTATTAACAGTTTTTACGGGAACATATTGGTTTTATTTTAACGTATTATTAAGTAATAACGAGATCGGGACTTACGTAGTGTGATGTTAATTTAATTTTAGAACTCGATTTATTTTCAATGAAAGTTTGATTATCAAAAAAAAATTTAAGTATGAAATAAGGATCTTCATAATAAATTCAGACTCAACAATACTTTGCTACAATTATTACTACAAGATTTCGTGTTATAATCTTGTAATTATTTAGTATCCGATCTTTAACGTTTTACACTTTATTTTATTTTATCTATAAGAGGCCATGTTTATCATTCCGCCATAAATACCTCTGATATTCTCAGCAGAAGCTAGGATTGTATAGTCAGTCTCACTGGACACAGTCGAGGCAGGTTTACAGAAGTAGGCACTGTTTCCTCCGTAAAATCACTAATTTTTTTCAATAAAAATACTCTACGCTGTCCTTGGAATTTATACAAAATTTGTGTAAAACCTAAACACATAATATTTTCGAACCAAAACAAGTGTAGGTATACCTTCTCCTACCTCGTTTTGCAAAATTTATATGTAAAGGAACTTTTTTTTATAACGTCTCAACATTTGAAAATCGATCATTTCGTCCTATTTTTATTTATGGGAAAAAAGTTCAACATTATAATAAATTACCGAGTTTTAAAATAGGCAGCTTTAATTTAAATATTGACATGAAAACCCAATGAAATTCCATGTTGAGGTGCAACTAATAAAGCTTACCTGACAAAATAATCTGTAGGGTAATTGAGACGTTAAAAGTAAAAATGGCTAGTGCATACCTGAATTTCTGCTCACTCACTAACCAATCAAGAGCAGCTATTTGCGACTTGGACTTCTCGATCGATGACGATTTCGATTTTTATGGTGATGATCATGATTTCCTGCATAGATATATAGATTGATCAAAAATTCCAATTCAAGATTTCCATTATTTTTTCTGACATTCAAATATTTATATTTTACCTCTATCTTTGTAACGACGGTCATCTTCTTTATGCCGATCATGTTTTTCTCGTGACTCATTGCTTCTACTTCTTTGTTGGTTATTTCTGAAATTCATAAAAAATATTATTTTTATATAAACCTTAAAATTAGTGTAAAATAAAATTCGTACCTGTGCACGTCGTGTTCTCGTCTTTTATGCCTATCATCTTTTTCATTATCATTCTCTGTTTCTCTGTCTCTAATTCGTTCCCTATCCCTATTTCTGTCCCGGTCTCTTCTATCCCGATTGACATCTCGACGTTCGTGATCGCGATCTCTATTTCGATCTCTTCTTCGCCTATCATCATCGCCTCCTCGCGCTCGTCGTCTATCGTCATCTCTTCTCCGTTCTTTATCTTCGCGATCTTTCTCTCTTTTATCCTGAAAAAATTATTAAAACATAGTTAGTTAATTAATTTCTAATAAAAATCGATGATGCAAATTTCCTTTTACAAACAAAACTATAACTTACCAAAATATCTTGAAGAGCTGCTTTCAATCTAGCGTATCCAACGTGTTGTTTTCCCATTAAATGATCATCTATCCTTTGCTGAGCATCTCCAACTATCAAGAAAGCTCCGCAGACATCGCACACTTCCATTTGTTTTTCTTGAGCAGCTGCCAATTCAGCAGTCTGAAACAGTCAATTAGCGTTGTAAAATTTTTCTAGTAAATTAGATATTCTATATTGGATATGCTATATTTTTTATTTATTAGTAGGTGAAGTGAATATGGGTATTGAAATAGAGTAGAGTTATTTGAGAAAATTATTGCATATAAAAAAAAGTACATAAAATAAAAAATAGAAAATGGAGACAATCCAATAAGAAGTTTACTTGGATAAAGGAATTAAGGAGCATACCCAGTTAGAATCATTCACCTGGTTGTAATGGCTGTTGTCATTAGACTTTTGTAATGTTTCCCTTTCTTCTTTTAGTTGATCGCACAAACGCATTAAACCTTGGGCTTGTTCGACATTTCCCTGTATTCCACATTGCTCAGCTTCTTCAACAAGTTTATTAATTTTTTCTGAAAGCAGAGCAATTTGCTCTTCATTTTTCTGAGTTTGGGCCGGAGTCAAAGTCGTCTTAAATGAAAGATCTTGGTTAATTTTACTAATCTCAAAATGCATTGCATAAAAGATAAAATTATTATTTACCATATCTTTATTTCCAATGAGGGCTAACCTTTGTTTGCCTTTGACAATTTTGCGCTCAACCTCTGACAGCATGCTTTGACAGAACCTGATGAATTCATCTTCATACTGCTGTTTACGAAAAGTATAAGGAGCTTTTTCATAAAGTTCTTTTGCTTCATCATCATGAACTTTTGTGCACACCCCCAAGTCAGCTCTGGTATTGACAAATAAATCATGGGGGCAGAACTTGACAAAGTACAACTTACAAAACTGAAATAACATGAATAATTTAATTTTCATTTTTCATTAGATAGTAAAAATTTCGAGGTAGGTAATGGTCTCACCTCCGGATCCTCCCAATTAATTTCTTTGGGTTTTTCGTTTGGTAGAATGTTGCGGTTTCTACCCATAAGCTCGTCGAGCAAAGCTGCCGCAGCTGCCGCAGCCATGATTGTTATTTTGCGATTCGTGCACAGACACTTGTTCCAACAGGAAACTTAAGTTGTAAAGATAGCTACTATTAGTAATTCGGTTCTGAAGATTGTTTTGTTTAATTAGTAGTCGTCAATGGTTTAAATGCAAGCCAAGTTTTAACGTAAAAAGAAGCATCAAAGACCCAATTGATTAAATTAGTTCGAAACATTGAGAACAACAACGTCGTCAGTAACAACCGTCGCCATGTTTTCAGGGCATAATCATAATTGAAACATGGTGGAAGAACTAGGAACTAGTTCGCGCTTGCCACTTAAAATTTCTAGAAGATTAGGGTCCACTTGCAATGCGACGATGTGGCTCATAGGGTAATTACAATTTTTTCTTATTATTGCGTTTGCTTGAAAAAACTTTTCCCGTATCGATAAAATTTTATATTGAAATATTTAAATATTACCGACCAAGCCCGATTTCGTTTTTCACATTCTAGTCAAGTCTCAGTCTTCTGTGTACAAGATTTTGTGAATCGTGCTATTATTGAAATGATGAACTTTAATAGTTGAAAGTTAGAGAATTAAGGAGGTTCGGGAGTCTCAGCGAAATGCAGCCAAATTTTTAAAACACGTTTAATTGCTTTGAAACTTTATAATATGAATGTTAATATTAAAATACAACTTTTCACCGCAAAATTTTGTTAAAATGATGAAAAAATTTTTTGACCTTTTAACATGGTTTCTTACGAGAAATCATGAATTTTCGCTTTCAATGAGCATAAACATAATGTAAAAAAACAAAAACTAAATAGAAAAAAATACGTACATGTAGGAAATTTAATAAGGAATAATTTGACTGCAAAAAGAAGTTCATCGACCGTATAGTTATCGAGAAATAAATTGTTATGTGTAAAAATTCGTGGGTCATTTGCGCGTACCCTAACCAACAAATGAGCTAGAACAACAAAAATATGTGCTCATTCGACTCTAATGACAAATAGAGTATTGTTTTAAGCCTAAAACATCGAAAAAAACTCATCAAAATGATTGAATTATTAAAAATAGCTATAATTGTGTGCCAGCTCATTGAAAAAACCTACAATTTCGTGTTATTTCGAAGTTGGCAGCGCTGAAAATTTAACATTGGAAGTATAGGAGCCCCTCGCGTCCCGCTTCGTCCCCCTCTGAGACTCCCGAACCTCCTTAAATGATTCTTTTCTCGCACATATTCTTGTGAATGTCAATTGAATTAAAATAATAAACTTGGTTAATTTTCGCAAACTTTGGAGTTGCTATATAAAAGTAAAAAAAAAGTCAAAAGTTTACTGAAAACTCATGATAAATAGAGGCACTTACGGTGAAAGTCAGTACAAGTAGATAAACATTGTAACAATTTTATTATTTAAATTTCTTATACATTTTGTTTTATAAAATTCGCATTTACATATACGTTGAACGCGTTATATATTCAAGCGTGTGATAAAATTAATACGATTTTTTCTCACTTAAATTGTTTGGTTATTTATAATATACAAATAAAGGTAAATGAATAATTTCATTAACGATATAGTTCATATGTACAGTCTCTTGTGCATGCCGCACGACAACGATTTCTTTTAATTTCTACATTCCTGGTGATTCAGCTAAGGCGTTTAAATCGTTGGAATCGCGAGCTCAACTCTTTCCTTTAATGTATCATGCATTTTTGGCTATACGATAATTGCGATTTATAAGTAAATGAATTAATTCGTTTGTATGATGTATTATATAAAAGTAAAAAAGATGAAAGTATGAAACAACGCCGATATCGCGACGTATACGCTTTCATAAACAGAGAAAAAATGCTTGAATTATGAATCTACGATTCGATTTGTAGAATTCTGCATTGGCCATCGAGTCGTATATAGTACGAAACTACTCGAAGCGTCGAGGACTATTTTTACTCGTAATCTTCCTCGTCGGGTCTGACTTGAGGAAACCTTCTGAGATTTTGCGCGGCCGACAGCTGCTGGGGTCTTCTCTGCTGCAGAGGAATATTAACTTCCTCGGGGCTGCGGAAAACCTGATTGATGGGGAAGCGATACTGCTGCGGCGAGGCGGTCGACTGGGGACGCACCACGTTGGGGATGCTGTTGGCGGTGGGCGCGACGTGCTGAGTAGGAGTGTTGATGTAGATCTGCGCAAGTTTATCCAAAGATTAGATATTATGCATTTGATTTTCCGGGTAGATATAAAAAGGCAGGAGTATAATATTTTTATACTCACGGGCCGTCTCTGCTGGCTCGGCGTTCTGTAAGACTCTGAACTTTCACGCTCGTCCGTGTAGATGTCGGCCGGGAAATATCTCTCGCTGTATCTTATCGTTACGTTGGGCTTGCTCTCGGCCTCCTCCAAGTTCAATGGCTTGTACAGGTACTCGTTCACGAAGTGATACTGCGAGCTCTTTTTGCAGTTTATGTCGCCGTTGGGCGGCATGCAGATTAAATGCACCTGATAAACATCATCGAACCAGTTAATCAAATGTTACGGCGCAGCGAGGCAGAAACCCGTTTTGAATAGAAATTAGACTGCGCGCGCTCGTATACATACACCGACACGCGCTCTTTTTATTCTTCACTGACGTGTGTACGCGCGCGACTCATGTATACACACATCTCGCTCGAGCTATTTTTAATTGCAGCACGATAATCGTGCGGTGCATTGACATACCTGGTGGAAAGTGAAACCTTCGGGGCAGATCCAGGAGTGCCTGGCATTGTCTTGGCAGTAATGGAATACTTCGCAATTGAGCTCTTCATCGGCGTAGTATCCCGTTTGTTTTCCGACGCAGTCAAATTTACTCTGGGGCAAGAGAAGACTCAGACGATCGGGTTCTTCCTTTTCTTCCTCCAATTCTTCCAGCTGTCAAAAAGAACAAGAATCACTCAATCTTTTCTCGGTACCGATTGAGAGGCAAAATAATTACCGGTCCATTTTTGGTAAACTGTTGGGGTCCACCGCGTATCTGCACGCGTGGATTCGCGTTTATCCTGATCGGAGTCGGTGTCCGGTACTCTTGAGATCCATCGATGCTCGGCTTTCTGTACACCTGCGACACGAATCCAAAAAATGTACATCACGAACGGGATCGAGTAAGGTCGCCGAGATCGAAATGAGAGAAAAAAGCATACGATTACCTGTTGCGCGCTGGGATTGCGATAGATGGGCGCGGGCGACGGGCTCGGCGTGACGGCGTTGTCCTCGTAGCTGGTGTCGCGGTATCCCGAATTGGCGAAGTTGTAAAGCGGACCGATGTTGGCCGCTTTGCCGTTGAACGCCACCGAGCGAGTCTCTATGTTGTCGTATTGGCCCGCGGCCAGCGCGGCGGTACACAGTAGCAGGTACAGCCGGTACATGTTTTTAATGCAAGTATCCTCCTCTATTGGAGTCTGCAACACAATGAAAACGACGAGTTTGAGTGAAAATGCGAAGATGTCGTCTGAGCATTTAATTTTTCGAGAAAAGGATCTTTCAAATACACCATGAATACTGCACGCGAAAAATTGAAGAAACTTTCGCAAAACAAATTTTCTTACATTGTCTAAAAATGTGTTCGGTTTGAGACGCGCGTATAACAATGATTTTTTGTTCAAGAAAGTTTGTTGGTGCCTATCAGATTACAGCTAAAATTTGAAAAACAATCACACATTTCAACACAGATAAACAAGTACAAGATCATATTATAGTATTATTAATACAAGTTGGATTAGACGATATATAAAATTAGTCTAACTTGTATTTCGTATCGGCTTTCGCATTCATTTGCAATTCCGATCACTTTCAAGTACGTGCCACGGCGCGTATATACGGCCTAGTGTCAATTTCGTGCTGCAGATAAGCTTTTTTGCAAAGCTACCGCAATGAAAATGAAAAACGATCTCTGTCTGCCGACTATACGTAGTATTTGCCAATGTCTGAGCCGAGTGAATTATTACTTCATTTTTTTTTCATCCATTTTTAGATATCCTGAATGATTCGTGTTTACGTAAAAATAGTAAGTACACAGGCGAGTAGATCAAATGAAAAATTGATTGATGTGTGGAAGCATGTGTAGTCTAAACGTTATAAATCAAGCGTTGAGCATCGATTGAAAAAATGATATCATATTATAGATTTAAAAGTCTGCGCGAATGATTCTTATAGCTAATAATGATCGCCCATAATTCTTCGACGATAAGACTTTCATCTTGATGCAATCGGCAAAAATAGTCGCGCAAAATTCACTCGAACTCTCCTGCATTGTATAACAGAAATGATCGCGAGTAAACCCATGCATGATTAATAGCTGCGCCCTGTCATTCTATAGTCTGTTGCGTGCTTCGCCATTCGGCTTATAAATATATAATTAACCCATTAGCCAAGTTCACGAAGGCGCAACGCTTCGCGCCACTTAAGCCCGCAAACTGCAAAGTAATTTAGTTTACCAACAAACCGATAAAAAGCAACGCTTAAACGCACGAATTTCACGAATAACAATGAAAACGCACAATAGCCGAGGAGCATTATCAGCTATGTGTATCAAAATAACGGGGATAATCCAAAAGTCATAACCACAATTGCCAAGAGAGAGTCTGCGCGAGCATGAAAATAACAGCTGAGAGCTCGGAATGAATTTTATGGTGTATGAGAGAATACACATCTCTCTGCATCTCTCTCTGCCTCTCGTGAAAAATCCACCTAGTGAAAACAAGCGGAGATATTGAGCAAAAAATAAGAGTGAGACGCTCGCGCGCGCGCGTGTACTTTAGACTTGCTTGAACGAATCCGAGAGTGCGTGGGTCAGTACATGTGTTCGCGTTTGAATAATATTGCCGAGCGAGAGAGAGAGAAAGACGGTTTGTGGAAAGCGTTGCAAACTTTCTAGAGCATTAACAGATTTGCCGTCTGGCCGTATAAAAATGAATCGTCACCGAAAACGAAACGACATATCGTTGTAGCAAATTTTATTATACGAGTCTCGTGCGTGTGTATACACATTTGTGGGAAAGAAATGGATTTTGCAATTGCGTTGCAGCTGGCACCAGAAGTTTGGTTTCTTAAACGGATTGAAAATGAATACGAATTCAATGTGAATATGCGTAATCTAATCTAATTATTGAGTCAACAATGCGTCATTAATATTTTTACGTCGACTTGATTTAAACTTGTTAAAGCTCGCGAAAAAACTCGTAATTCAAAAATATGAACAATGTTTCATTGAAACTTCTAAAAAAATCATAAGATACTTGTCAGAAAATTCTTCGAAGAGCTATCAAAAATCATCTAATTCATCACTGTTGCATTACTTTCTAAATCTAATCGAGCAAATTATTACGACTTGTTCAGTGTGTTGATCCGAAAAGTAAGCGACGCACCTGTAACTACGCCGCGTGCAATAGATCTCGACATACATCTTTTACCTACTTTACAAGGGATGTAACTATGCGGAAGAAAACCGAGACACCCAAATGTGGCATGTACATTTAAAGCCGTTCAACAAGAAACTCGAGTAATTTGCGCCAACTATGTGCGTATAAAACAATCATCGTGATTTAGTGAGTGTGAGAACTGCTTTTTCTATTCATCTGCGCTCGTAACGTAATGGCAAACGGAAGCACATGAGCGACGCCGAAAAAGTTTTCACTTATCCCGAAAAAAAAGTTACACCTTCCTGTAGCCAATACAATGTAAGATCTATTAAACGAGTATTGAATTTAGCGTTCCGACAGGCCCGTTATATTACGTAGATTTGCTAGATTTTATTCGCACGTACTCAATGAAACATGACTTGAAATGAAACACAAGTTTTTCTTTAATTTCTTGTCAAACGATGTGGTTGCGCTTGTATGATTTTATATGGTCTAAGATTAGAAAAGTGTCACAAAAATTTCATATAACAATTGTATAACATACACGACTGCATACGTGGTTCTATCGTTAGATATATTCATGATTCAGGTACTGAAACTTATTATGGCATGGATATACCAGAATACTTCAAAATAAGTCTATGAATAATCTTGTTGGAGTCACGTGAAATGACAACGAATAATAAGGTTTTTCAATGTACTTGACATGAAAGTTAAGATGCACCTCGAGAGTGAAAGCAGAGGATGGTCAGCCGTTCGAAAAATTGACAAATAAGTATAGATAACGAGGAAATCAGCGAACCTTTACTTACACACGCGCATCACCGTGTCCACAGCACCTTCCGAGCTTCAAAGTATAACGAGACGAGAAAATTAAAGTTTCTGTGTCAGCTTGATTCCCGGAAATTCTGCAAAGGCTTTCTAAATGTTGCGAAAATATAGCTATACGAACTTTTTTCGATGCTATTGGACAACGTTTGCGATGCATAATCAAAATTCCGACCCAATCATCATAAGTCAACTGAAATTGGGCGCATACGCGTGGATTTTGAAAAAGGCCTGTCAAGGTGAAAGGAAAAACTGTCCAGAGAATTGACGAGTTACGGCGAAACTTCAACGTAAGAGCTTTCAACGTTCAAAGTGCACATGCGCTAGTTGAAACAATTAATTTAACTTTTATTTACAGAAACGAAATGTAACCAGTGACCGGTGATTATACTTGACAATTCTTGCAAATTTTAACTCTTGAAAGAGGCCGCATTAAAATGTATACGTCGCCGCATGTGTGATGCACGCGGATAGTACCTAATTTGTAATTAGTCATCGATAGCCTAATTAAATACTTTCAAAAATCAATTTTAAACTGCGAAGAAAAAAATTTTCATTCCGCAAATTTTTCACAAGTACTTAACGCTTTCTAACAATTTCAAAAAGTGTGTAAAGCTCACTTAGAACTCAAATTGCACCTTAATGATAAAACCTCACTTTTACTTATACAGTTATGTTTACTTTACCACTTGCGGATTCACATATAAAGGTGCTCGCCATCTAGCGACAGAGGCTGACTTCAATTATGATTTAAATTTCATGAATTTTTTCTGCAGTTCTTTCCTTGATAATGTGAAAAAATAAATTTGTACTGTTTTATTAATCTTCAACGAAAATTTTTTTAAAAAGAAACTTGAATAAAATTGAGTATCAGTTACTTCAATTTCAATATCTAATTTTTCATTGAATTTGCATTAAAGGTTTTTTACAACAGTCAGGGAATTAATAATTTAGAGTTTAAAAAACTATTAATTATAATATACGATATTGGAATTCAATAATGCATGAAAAAGCTTTGAACGTGTCTTTGGAATGTGTGTTTTACGAAACAAAAGAATAAAACATCGATAAAATGACAATGTGCGTTCTCTCAAAATTCGAATCATTAAGACAAAAAAGTGAATAAAGACGTACGTATGTACGCAACTCGCGTACCTACAATATACACTCGTAAATAAGGCGGCGTCCATACATCACTCGAAGACTAAAAAATCATTGCGCAAGCAAACGTTCGGAGATAGTTACCCGGCGGGTGAACATGTGATATCGTCAGAAGAGAGCATTATAACCGCGCTAGACTCGTTTTTTACTGTTATAAGTAGCTTTTTGCAAAAGGAAAACTGGAGCAGCGAGGGTCAAACTTAGCAACGGCGAGCCGCTGACCGCATAGTTGCTTTTGTAAGATGTTGCACATAATATCAACTTGTATTTATAGGAGCTGCTGTATAGAATTGCAATTTGACGGTGTGCAAAAATCCTTCCCAAAGCTCTCGTTTGACACTATTGCATTGCCATTTGACTTTATAAAGAAATTTTATGGCCTCGTCGTTAGTGACAACGACCCCGCAGAAACATTAATTAAAATTAAAAAGTTCGTTTAGTTGAGTAAGATAAAAATGAATTCTAATACGGTATGGAATTTTCGCGTAACATATCATTTCTTCGAAACCCTGTGTGGTATTTCTCTATTCGACCTTTAAATACGTATTACGATTTAGATTTTTTTCTGCGTGCATTTTTGCGTTAAGTAACGTAATGAATATCCGGGAGTCATTTCTAACACACTATAATAAGCGCATAAGTTATTTGAAATCATAAACAGACTTAGCTCACGGTGTAACAAACTTTCATTATTACTTTATTGTCGCATTATTTGAAATAACTCGCGAGTTATTAATACAGCCATTAAATAAGTCGTTATCGATCGGAACTGCAAGTCTCTAACGAGCCGATCTTTTTCTCTCGTGATCGCTATGCAGCGGCGCGCAGCTTCCGGCATCGCAGCTCTTTATTCCAGCTTTTATCTACTCACGCACGGGTATAAGTAAATAATGTATATAATGAGTTTGATACACAATACATTAGCAACGATTTCATGGCGAGTCAACGAATACTTTCGATTTTTCCCTCCCGATGAAAGTGATTAATATTTAAATTCGTGTTTCCGCTCGAGTGCAGCA